CTGAAAAGGTACCTTTGCATATCCTACGCTCCAAACCAAACGTATTCGGTCGATAAAACCGGAAAATTTGATCAATTGAGAAAAAAGCGTGCAATTTGCCCAAATGACGTTCCGTCCCGTAACACGGAATACACGTGCATATCTTCTGTATAAAACTGCTGACCGGACACGTTGGGATCACAGCAACAAAAAGCACACAAAAGAAATGCCACGTTTGACACCGATTGAGAGAGAGAGAGAGCCGTAGGAATGCTCCAACAGGGAGCTACCTACCGCGACGTCGCCAGAAGGTTAGGATGCGCGCGCATAACTGTCACCAGGTTAATGCAGCGGTTGCGTGAAACAGGTCGGACAGCAGACAGGCCGAGAACCGGGAGACCACGGGTGACCACGCCTATTGAAGACCGCCACATCCGGGTACTTCACCTTCGGAACCGCTTCGTAACGGCGACGTTAACGTGGGACACGTGATAAGTCGACAAACCGTGTACAGGAGACTGCGAGCACATGGTATGCGAGCACGTCCCATACCGCGGAGCGTCCCTGACACCTCAACACCGACTCAACAGACGGATATGGGCCAGGCGACTTCGACGGTGGCAACGGTGGAACTGGGCACGTGTCATGTTTTCTGACAAAGCAGATTTTGCATCTTTAGGAACGACGGCCGGCAGCGTGTGTACCGAAGAGTAGGTGAACGTTTCGCACTGAACTGCATCCATCAAGTCAGGCAATATGGAGGCGGAGGTTTAATGGTTTGGGGTGGAATCTGCGGTGACGTCAAAACGAGACTCGTCGTTATTCTAGGAAACCTGAATGCGCAGCGTTATCGTGATGACATCTTACAACCAGTTGTGGTGCCATTCATCCAACAACAGCCTTATGGTATCATTTTCCAGCACGATAATGCGAGGCCTCACACGGCAAGGCTGACCCAGAACTTCCTAGCAAACGCCAACATTCACGTTTTACCATGGCCGGCATGTTCACCGGACATGAACCCAGTCGAACACATGTGGGACATTCTCGGCCGCAAAGTCAGGAATCGCCCTGTGCCTCCAGTTAACCTCCAGGAGTTGGAACAATGCCTCCTCCATGAATGGCAATGCATCCCCCCCCCCTCCCAACGTCATCAGACGTCTGACGTCATCAGCCCGTAGACGTGTACTAGCGTGTATTGACGCTCACAGTGGACATACCCGGTACTAACGTGACTTTGAGACGTGTGTTGTGACATTTTCCACACTTGACTCATCAACTGTGTTCAAATGAAATTTTCATTTTGGACCCCCCCCCCCCCCCCCCCCCGCGTCTTTACATGTCTGTCCTCATGATTGTAAAGGATTGATTTCAATGAATTTTTGTACACATACTGTGAAAACATTACTCACAAGTCATATACCAATTTGAAATGTCTGTATCGTTTAGTTTTTTTGTAATGTCCTTTCAAACACGTGGTATCGTTTCTTTTGGACATTAGTTTATGTTAGTTAAATGACATTTTTGGCAAAACATTTTGCAACCTGTAAATAATGAAACAAATATGATTGCCACGGTAATCTTGCGTTTACTAACGAACATTTGTTAGGATAATAAGGTAAGAAGGTAAGTTTTAATCATTAATGTCCAAAAAGGATTTTAATTAATGGTGGTAACCATAATTTGTTCTAAGCACCTACGGTATTCGGTAATAACATCAACAGTTTAAATCATAAGTCCCAAGCACGAGAATCGGATGGCACACAAGTTCAGTAGCGTGTATGGCCACCATGTGCGTTGACAACTGCCACACAACGCCTCCGCATGGACCTTGTGATGCTTGTGAACACATGATTGAGAAGACGACGCCATTGTTGCTGCAAAATGGTGCCAAGATCTTGCAAATTCTGTGGTTGGTTCTGGAGAGTGCGCAGACTTCTGCCAAGAGCATCCCAGACGTGTTCGATGGGATTGAGGTCGGGAGACCTTGACGGCCAGTCCATGACGTTGACTCCCGCATTCTGAAGGAAATTCCTTGTCAAAATGTGTGGGGTCTGGCACTGTCGTGTTGGAAGATCAAACTGGGTCCATGTGCTGCCATAAAAGGCAGAAGTTCTGGTGCCAGTACCTGGTCGCGGTAAGCAGCAGCGTTGAGGTTGCCACGGATGACAAGAAGCCTGGAACGTGCATTGCCACAGAAAGCACCCCACACCATGACACTTCCGCCTCGAAATCTGTCGAACTTCCTGTACACAACACTGGTCGTAACGCTCATGACGGCGCCTCCACACCCTCGCCCTACCATCAGCAAATCGAAGATTAAATCGGGATTCATCACTGAAGACGACTTGATTCCAATTCCTCTGAGTCCATCGTAAGTGTCGCTGTGCCCACAATTGACGTTGACGTCTGTGTAATTGAGTCAGAATCGACCCGTAGTGCTTGAATGTGAGCAGTTCTCAGACGGTTTCGAACAGTTTGCGAACTCAGTCTACCCCTAAACAGTTCATTTCTGGTTGATGTAGCCGTCAAAAATCGGTTACGGAGGTGACGTAAGATAATCTGACGATCCTCTGCATGTGACGTCACACGTGGTCGACCTGGCCGAGGGCGATCAGCGGTGGTACCCGTCTGCTGAAGACGCGTCTGTAAATCATAAACAGTCCGTCGACTACAACCCATCGTCCTTGCTACTTCAGCTACGGCACGTTCACGTTGCACATTTGAAAGGCGTGGCATGACAGATGGCCGTAAAGACTTTTGTTTTCTTGTGTTTTTCTTTTTTTGTTAATGACTGCTAACAAGTAGGGCTGAAAACACGTGCGGTATTATGGCCACGTGACCAGTTGCACGTGAAAAAAACACTTTTGCCGCTATAGTGCTGTGCACATGATTTTGATCGATTCACCTGCACAAAAACGGGTGTTATCTGAAGACAATACGTGGCCATTACTGTTTAAATACCCAATAAGGGCCAACAATGATAACTAGTCAAAATGTTAAAATTTTAGGTTTGTGAAGTTTTTAATTTTGGTTCAGTATATATGACTATGACACAATAAATGTTTGGTGTTTTAGGATGAAGTTTCCTGAAGCATGCAATGATCAAGTCGTTGTTACAAACATCGTCCTTGGGGATATTTACCCACGAGAAACATCTGCGAAGTCCATGCACTTCATGAAAGACTTGAAACTTAAGTTATCTTAAGTATGGAAGTATGCTTCAATTTGCTACACGACTGACTCACATATTTAAGTGACTTGAATATCTACATGATCATGACAAATAAAGATAATAAAGAATTCCTGGTTACGGTTCAGAATTTCGCCCCTGTGGTTTTATGCCAGAGAATATGAATTCTTACACCTTGAAAACCATCGGGTAAATTGTATTCAACACGCAAGATGATTTGTCATTTCAGTACTGTGGAAGCACGTGTTTGAGAACATGTAGTGTTCTGAATCTCGGTCCAGAACACTTTACAGACGTTCTAAAAGTGTTACATCGTCAGAACACGTTGAAACGTTTTAAATATGTTTGTAGAACACTCCTGTTCCGGGTCGAGAACATCAATGTTCAGAATTTTCAGAACACATGGACGCGTTTTAAAAGTGTTACATTCATGTGTTCTGTCTATAGTGTTCAGAAGTAGAACACTTGGGTTCAGAGTGTAGACAAATTGGAGATACAGCCTATTCCCTTTAGTGAACTAGAGATAAAAATCAAAATCATAGCCTCCATGGCCCAAAGATGGCAAGCCCAGTGGGACGCAAGTAAGATCGGCAGATGGCTATACAAAATTCAACCCAAGATCCACCAAAAGCCCTACTCATACTCAAATGAAAGGAAAGTTGAAATTGCCATCTCAGACTTGGTCTCAAAAAGAACTATGACAAGATTTGTCCATCTTGCAATCAACCTAAATCCATTGCTCACTGGAATGTCAAGACCACGCACAAGCCCGGGCTCGGTTAAAACAAGAATTGCAGCTTGATCCGCTATCTGTCTCCTAAAGCCAAGAGATGCAATAGCGAAGGCCAAACTAACTCTAGCCTAGAACAATCCTTAATTTCAGGAGCAGAAGCAATCTAGACTTGCCAAATTATCCTGGACTTGAGACCTTGTTTTTACTTTATTTCTCTAGGGTCTGGGAGACAGACCAGGGAGGGTCATGAACATCATACAAGGACATGAGGAGGGTCATCCCGAAATATGACGACCCATGAAGTCCCGGGTTAGAACAGGCCTTCAGCAACCCATACTTGCCGTAAAAGGCGACTATGCCTGTCGTAAGAGGCGACTAACATGATCGGGTGGTCAGGCTCCCTGACTTGGTTGATGCATGTCATCGTATTTTAATTGTGTGGATCGGTGCTCAGGGGATTGTCTGGTCCAGACTCGAGTATTTACAGATCGCCGCCACATATATAGCTAGAATATTGCTGAGTGCGGCGTTAAACAACAAACAAACCAAAATATGACAAGCATTTTTAGGGGAGGGTAATTATTTTCAGTATCATTAAAAATCTCTTATAGCCTCCTAAATAAATGTAATAAATGGCCGCTCCCTTATCTTGGGATACATGTTTACATTCGGCTAGTATTATTTATTGTAAAGCTCAAGTGATTTTGATGCCTTAATTATAATTTAAATTGAAATAAGATGAAATATTCGAATTTGCTTTTGCAATCAAATTAAATATACACTGGGCCTAATACTAAATTTGCTATTTAGATCTAGATCTATATTTATAACCATTAATAATATTCGCTTATATTTAATAACAAGCATCAATTTTGATGATAAAGTAACTTTCCGCGAGTTTTGGAATTGTTTAAAACGTACAGGAGACCTAGTCTAGGCTATCGTAGGTCCAATCTTAAACCAGATAATGTGGATGGTGTCATTGTACATATATATACAGCTGATATAGGTCCCACTGACCTAATTTTCGTTCACGAATGTAAATATAGGTCAATGGTTTGGTCCACTGATCAGTTGAGCAGCAATGATGTTAATGTAACACATATATGGGATTTGTAGTGAGAGGCTTTCTGGGAATCCTTCTGTACAATCACCTGTACATGTTATTAATCTTGTGTTTATTGTATTCCCACACTGCTGTAAACGTGCAAGTCACTTACCCGCGAAGTCGTCATGTTTTGAAGTTCTAGATCACCCCTTTTGTGAACATGGCCTGGTCGCTGTCAGTGGGCAATATGGCGGACGACGAGGAAGGTGCGCCGATGTCTGACGAAGAAATGGTCGAGGAAGACTCGATGTCGACAGTAGAGGGGAGTAACAGTGCTGATAGTGAAGCAGAAGAATTATATGAAGTAGAGCATATAGTAGGAATGAAGAAAAATGCTAACGTGAGTGACTACTGGCCTTCTATATAAGTAACTCAGATGTCTGGAGCGGCTGCTCTCAAGACAATATTCAGCTGTGTTGTTAAGAACTGACGGTATGTCTTTGTTCACTAACATGTTTTTCACCATACACTCTAAGCCGGCTGCCTGTTGATATTTGAATTATCAACCCATATGTATCATTTTATTAGTACAGACATGCATTTGTGGAGATTTTCAATTTAATTGCAGAACTGAGATCCAGGGGGACTTGCCTAGATTAAATAATGTGCTGTCTTCACTTATTGATAATATGAAATTATTTCCTCCTAGTTGTGATAATCAGCATTGGTGTAACCTTTTACTTGGTAGAATTTTTTTATCCAACAGCAGGCATTTTAATCTCCAGAACATTTTGTATACACAGATATGCAAGGCCTGGCTCAATAGCAGCCAAGTTACAAGATGGGTAGATCTCCTGATGGAAACCATACTGGTTTCCGACCACTTATTCTCATTTTTTTCATGTTATCTCTGACATTTTCCTCATACAAAGTTGACTGTACCAATAACTTTAATTTTTGTGAAACTATGAGCATGTGTGCATATCTCTGTCAATGGAATAAGATTCACTTGATTTTTGTTATAACGCTACGATAGGGAATCAAAACAGTGGAAATAGAATTTTCACGTCGACTTACTTTACCACTTATTGTCATCGTGTGAGCGCACACCGCTTCAGTTATACAAATTACATTTTTAAGTATCTCGGGTATGGCACTCAATTTTTTTATTCATCAAAGTGAATAAGAAATGCTATTATCAATTTGTCGTCTGCAAACTGACAACAACCAATATCACCAAATTCAATCTACATATTGAATCACTATGTAGCCTGCAACCTCGGGGTATCGCGGTACTTGTCATGTACGCTAAACGGAACAAAATGCACTCACTAACCTTTATGTTTATTTGTGTTCTCTGTATCAGATATCATTCATGTTATCAAACAATGCATATTTTACTGATAAAAGTTCATTATTTACATTAGTAGCTCCGAGTAAAAGCCGGGCCTCGCGCTCTGTTTGACAAGGGAGAGAACTCCATCGTATCGCGGTACAGAGAAAAGTTGTGTATGGAGGTCCGAATTGGACAAAAAGAGGACATAATTCTACCAACCACTTGGTATGATCATGACAGACATCAGTGATTTGTCCAGACAAGTGCAAAGACAGCACAAGTAAAATTCTAAATGTGTTATCAGCAATGGGTATTCAATGCATATTTACCGAAAAGTAAGAGAAAAATATTTTTATAAGTCAACATCAAAATATCAGAAATGATATTTTAAGATTGTTAAAACAAAATTGGATGACAATAATTTGTCACAAAATGGAAAAATGTCAAAAGTCAACAATAAATATATAAAAAGCACTCCTAGTATGCCCAAAGTATGTATTTATCTTTTGGTTACTAGTGAAGAACGTATTTCTAAGTTTGGCATTATGGCCCTTATGATCTCCCAATAGATTCTGGGCACAGAGCGGGAAAAAATGTGCGGACTACGTAACTTACGTTACCTCATTAGTCGCCATGAATATGCAGATGATCTAGTTCAGGTCGATAGAGAAAGTTTACTTGGGGAACTGCGGGTTATATCGTTGGCCATTGATAGATGGGGGTAAGGCAATATTACAACAGATGCCAGAAATATGTATCAACGGATTAATAACTCCTTACTTACAGCAGACGGAACATTCCGAGGAAATTGAAATTGTTTACGAAGTGAGCACTTCCTGGTTACTGATTTGCATTAATAGACAGCCGCTAAGAGGCGTGTCCCGCGTGAACTATCGGAAATCACAAATGCCGCGATACGATGAATGCCGCGGTACCATGGGGTCCGAGTATACTATGGATTTAGCAATATATACAGGTTATGCATTTTTGGAAATACAGCTCAAATAGGTTTCAGAATTGTATTTTGGGGAAGAAATGACAGACAGATAGAAAGCAATGACAGAACTGAAAGTGTATCATTGTTTTGTTCGATTTATATTTTCAAGTGAATTAGTCATGTGACACCGCCCATGAGCAAGGTGATTATGGTGTTTTTTAAGAATATTTTCTCACAAGAGTCTCTTTTGTTCATCATTTTCGGATAAATATTCCTCTCTTCTAATGAAAACGAGCAAAAGTAAAATGATATGGGATCATGTGCACGATCAACAGGGTGATGGCGATAATTGGTCCTCGGTAATAACTGGTCACTAGCCAGTATAGATTAGGACTATGAATTTAATGAGGTAGGGAATACCTATGCCAAATAACAGGTAATTCAGACCACCATTTTACAGATCACAGGCAATTCTTCCACTCATTTCACAATACTGGATAATTATTGTGTAAATTAGTCCACATTTCATAGATATAAGCAATAATTAATTTTTTCTTGCCAATCAATCTAATTGTGACTTCAAACACATAATTGTCAAGGTTTTTGTTGCATGTATAAACTTAGGAGTGCTTCTCATATTATACATGAACTTGAAGTAGTTTTTTCCCTCCCCTCCTTTTGTCGGAAGCTGTAAGAACCACAAAGAACGTGTATTATCCAGGCTAATTTCTCCCATGCTTAAACAGTGCAGGTGTGGCAGATGCATATGGCCTACTGCAGTTATTCCCCTTTGATAATGAAATTGGAACAGTCATCAGTAGATGATATTACTTGATATATATATGTCTTATATGGAGTGGGTCAAAACAGCCCCATGTCAGAATGATCTCAAAAGGTAAAGTCAAAACGGCCACTGAAAAAAGTCATAAGGGCCACACAGATAATAAAGAAGACAAACTCACATTAATTGTATTATATACATTGTATAACAGTTCGTAACACCATATGCACGCAGATCTTAATTCAGCACAAATTCTGTTGGTATACTATTTTAATGACGTAGAACGCATCAGGGTTACATACAAAAGTAAGAATGTGTGCAGTTATGACGGAAAAGGATTACTCTCGTAACATCCCCCTTTTCTTCCAAAAGTTAAGTAATATTAAAATACTGGTATATTGTGGCAGATAGGTTGAGAATAATGTACAGATTAGTCTCTTTAAAATATTCAAACTGCTTTATAAAACTTAACATGTTAACTAAGTAAAGTCTCTGTGGAATGTCTCTGAAATTCCTATAGACAAAATACCATACTGAGAACACAACAAAGAAATTAAAACACAGTGCTCTTTTTGCATTTGAAGTCAAAATGAAACAGTTCACAAATCGTGCTCATTCCTTGGCACAATTAGTAGGTAACAAAGTCTTTCAGTCTGGTTGGTGGTTTGACTGCTCTTGTCCTGGTGGTCTTGATGTTTTCCTTAGGAAACTCTAGAGAGACTGGTACTGGTGGCAATGAAGGAGGTGGTTTCACAACAGGCGATGTCTTGGTAGCAGTTGTCTTTTTCGCTGTTATGTGAGAATCTGGTTCAATCTCACTTGTAACTTCCGGCAACTGTTTTGGTGGTGTAGTTTCAGACGTTGATCTAAGAAACTTGCGATTGCGCTTGTACTCTTTACCATCAATGTCAACAATGTATGACCTTGTCGACACTTGTCTGACGCAAGTCCCGTGACGCCATTTACCCGTTGTGTCTGAAGGCACTGGTTGAACACGTACTGGTTGACCAACTGCGAGTTCAGGTAGCTCCTTAGCATGACTGTCGTAATAGAGTTTAGCCTTTCTGTGCTTGAGGGCTTTCTTGGCACTGACACTGTCAACAAGCTCAGGTTTCGGAAGTTGTGTAGCAACTGGGAGAGTTGTGCGTGTTCGACGCGACATAATTCTTTGTACAGGGCTACTGTCCATACCTTCAGTAGGGGTATTATGCCATTCCAGGATTGCTTTCCATGGGTCTTTGCCTTCTCTTTGTGACTTTTTGATCAGCTTCTTTGCAATCTTTACAGCTGATTCGGCCTTGCCGTTTGACTGACTGTGATAAGGCGATGTTGTGACATGGCTGTATTCCCAGTCTTTGGCAAACTGAGCAAACTCTCGTGTTGTGAGTTGTGGACCGTTATCCGACACTACGGTATCTGGTATGCCATGTCTGCTAAACTGTGCCTTCATACACTCAACAATAGATGTGGAAGTTGTGTCTGTCAGCTTGTCAACTTCCCAGTAGTCTGAATGATAGTCTACTTGAACAAGATATTCCTCATTATGTAGAGTGAAAAGATCCACACCAATCTTACTCCACGGGACGTTCAGGCACTTCATGTGACACTAAGGTTTTCTTCTGCTGATTGGGCCTCATTTCTGAACACACTGTGCATTGACCAACATGGTCTTTAATGTCTACAGTCATGTTTGGCCAATATACAACATCACGTGCCCTTCGGTGCATGCTTCGGCTCCGAGATGGCTTCCATGAAGGCGCTGAAGCATTTCACTTTGCATTGCTGGCGGAATCACAATTCGTGATCATTTGAAGAGAACACCATTCTGAACACTCAGTTCCTCTCGGAATGTCCAGTAGTCTCTGACACACACTGGCGTGTCCTCACGTTGTTCTGGCCAGCCGGCTAAGATGGAGGACTTGAGAGTCTGGAGATTGACGTCTTGTTGAGTGAGACTCTGAATTTGATCGAGACGCTGATCTGTGACAGTGATATATTCTGCAGCGTTGATATTCTCCAGTTCGCTGATGAAGGAAGTGTCCTCCGAAACAGCAAAGATTTCATAGTCTTTCAAACTCGGCTCTATCTTCCTGAGTGGAAGTGAGGCTCGCGACAGGAAATCTGCAATGTACATCTCTGTGCCCTTCTTGTAGCGGACATCAAGGTGGTACTTTTGCAGACGTATTATCATTCTCTGTAGCCTTCTTGGAGAAGAGATTTCTTGAAGATAGTCTCAAGTGGATTATGATCGGTTTGTACATTGATCAGCTCACGACCGTACACATATTGGTCAAAACGTTCACAGCCGAACACCACAGCTAAGCATTCTTTTTCAATTTGTGCGGATCTCTGCTCTGTAGGAGTAAGGGATCTGGATGCGAAGCACACAGGTTGACCATTTTGAAGCAAGGTTGCACCTAGCCCTACTTCACTTGCAT